TGTGTGTGTGTGTGTGTGTGTGTGTGTGTAACAGCTCTGGGTCTGGCTGGTCACTATGTAGACCAGGCTGGCCTTGAACTCACAGAGATCTGCCTGCCTCTGAGACTAGAAGAACCACCATCTCCAGCCTATCTTATAGGTCTAATTAGGGCATTCATGCACATGGTTCAAAATTCAGTGCCCCTTCCCACAGCAGCCTGTCTGGGCTCTTCTTCCAGGGATGCCACTCATTCACAAACCAACAAGCAGACACACATGAGCCCCACATGCTCTACATGCCTCTGGTGGGTGTCTGTCCTGTGCCCACTGGCATGCACTCATCTAACCTAGAGGCAGCAGGCTTTGCTTCAAACATCAGGAAATAAATATTTTAGCACCTTGAGCCATAGTTTGTATGAAAGAGGAGCAACTTTGCCATTAAGCAGGATAGCTTGGACATTGTGTCCATGAGTGAGCATGCCTATGTGCCAATAAAGCTTTATTTATAAGAACAGGCAGTGGGTTACAGATTGCTGACTCTGCTCTACCCAGGCCACTCATGAGTGATTCTTTACAGTTAACGCCCACCTTTCCCTCCTCCCAACCAACATCTTCACAACTAACTTCAGGCAGACACCATCTCACATATGCATGAGCTAACAGGTATCATCGATTTCAGTTGCTGAAAATGGGATTACTGGGCAAGGGGTCTATGCCTTCAGGACATGGCAAATGGAGCCACACTGATCCCCCCACCCCCTTTGCAGGGACCAGTATGGTTGCCTGATAATGAAGCCAGTACCATGTTCCAAACTTTCAGATCTTTGCTAATGGCATGAGCTTGGGAAAAAAGATCATAGCCCGGTGTGGTGGTGTACACCTGTGGTAGAGACGGGAAGAATCAGGAATTCAAGGTCATCCTCAGCTACAGATCAAATTAAGAGCCAGCCTGGACTACAGAAGATTCTGGAATAAATAACCAAGTTATTTATTCTACATGAGTAGAGTTAAGCCCTACCACAGACTTCTTTTAGCAAAGTACCCTGCTTTGTTTTTAAGCTTAGTGACAGTGGTGACAGGCTTCCTAGGTCCTGGCCTGGGTTCAGGACCAACAACATGGGGACCTAGATCCTTGAAGTCCCAGGATGGTGCAGGTGTAGGGGTCCTTGTGCCCTTTCACCTCTCACTTGCTCCCCTCTTTTCCTCCCAGAGAGCAGAGGCTGCCCAGCGGGAGGTGGAAAGCCTTCGGGAGCAGCTGGCATCGGTCAACAGCTCCATCCGCCTGGCTTGCTGTTCCCCCCAGGGATCCAGTGGGGTAAGGACAGAAGAGCGGCAGAGGGAAAGATTTGAGAGGGCCACATCTCTGCACATAGGAAAGTGGGTGGCACTTGGAGGGCACTGTGGATGTGAGCAGGGACACACATAGGACATTGTCAAGGTCAGCCTGGTAAAAAAAAACAGTTACTGCAACCTGTTGTACCATCAAGGGAACACTGTGGCCACCATTTTAAACGTTCAAGCTTCCATTGACTCTTGTTTAACAAAAAGCCTAAATGTCTTCCTTTGGATGTTTCCCTCATCTTGCCTGGGAATGCTGGAATTGTTCACAAGCTAGAGAGGGTCATACCCACTGCAAGATGTGTGCCAAGATTCAGTCAAGGTGACTGAGGTGCAGTATGGGTGGTGGCCATCAGGAGGTGCTGTTGAGCATTGGTTTCATATTGCTTGCTGGCTGCTTAGGACCTTGTGGCTCTGATCAGATACTAGAAGACGACTTGGGGCTTCTACTTAGCTCTTAAGTCCTAAAACTTAAAGGTGACTCCCTCGGGACCTGCTCCTCCTGTCAGCCACATGCTATACAGAGCTCATATCAGCTGTCAACCCCCAGGTCCCTGTACAAAGTCAATCCATCTTTCCCCTTTTCCCCTTCCCAAAACCTCCTAGGGTCCTGGGGTCATTGCCTGCCTAAAGATTTTAGTCACCACCCACCACTCTGCCCTTATGTCCTCTCCAGTCTGCTTCCTTCCCAAGTGGTTAGAGTCTCGGTTCCTTACATGATCACAAGGGAGAGGTGGTTTATGCCTTCCTTAACACTTGGGCGCTTCTGTCATAGAACCCCTTCAGTATGTACATCGGATGGTGTCTCTGTCTATAGTGGTGACCGTGTGCACGCATGCACAGGCTGACAGGGCCTCAGTTTCCTCTCCCATCTTCACCTGCCTTACAGGGTTATGGAAAGGATGGCTTGGCTCACAGAAGATGCTGGGAAATAGCCAATGTTTCTGACTGATAGCATGCTTGTGTCTTTGGTGGCTCTGCTCATCAGAGCTCATGGCCTCTTGCACCATCTGTGCACGTCTGGGATGATATATATCAGTGCCTATGGGTCTTTGATACAAGAAGTTTGCTCTCTCTCTTTCTCTCTCTCTCTCTCTCTCCTCTCTCTCTCCTTCTCTCTCTCTCTCTCTCTCCTCTCTCTCTCCTTCTCTCTCTCTCCTTCTCCCTCTCTCTCTCTCTCTCTCTCTCTCTGTGTGTGTGTGTGCGCGTGTGTGCGCGTGATGATTCAGGAAGGTACATGTGACTGTCCCAGGAGACAGTGTCTTCAGTGATCTGCCAGGTGACTGTCCCACAGTAGCGTGTCTAGAGAGTGATGTGATGGAGTTTTGTTGGCCGTCTGGGGAGGAGTCACCAGTGGTTCTTAATTAACCCCCCTGGAACTTGCAAATGGCTAGCCAGCCACAGGGAGCCCGGCTGGTTTGGGAGGCAGTTTTCCTGAGCACAACGGTGGCGCTTGATGCTAATTAATTTAATGTATTAATGGCATCCGCTTCCTGTTTTAATTGGCATTTATCTCCAAGGAAGAAAGCGGGATTAGTTGTGGTGGGCTGTTTCTGTGCATGAAGATTTTTTTTTTTTTTTTCTCCTAAGTACTTCTTAGATTGTGTAACTGAGCCTGAGACTAGCCTGACCAAGGTCCCACAGATAGCTGCCTGTCCCTTGTCATGGGGACATAGGGGCAGTTTCCAAGACCCCAGATGGGTGACAGGCCTGGAACAAATCAGGAGAGACCACGGCAACATGGCCTGTGGCTGGGATATCTTTGATCTAGCCCTAAGACTCCATGGCTCCCTGGATGGGTCCTTCCTTTGGGGTAGGACCCAGACAGACTGGCAACCCAAACCTGTTTTGGAATTGGCTTTGCCATAGTTCCTCTCTGCTCAGCCTTTTTCTTTTCTGTGTGTGTGTTTATACATGCACACATGTGGGCATTATGTACATGTGCCTGTTCCCATGTGTGTTGAAGCCAGAGAACAACCTTGGATGCTGCTCCCCAGAGACTGCCTGCCTTATTTTCTGAGGCAGATCTCTCACTGGCCTGGACCATATAGGCTAGGCTAGGCTAGGCTGGCCAGCTAGTGAGCTCCAGGCATTCGATTGCCTGTGCCTGCCCAACACTGGGCTTACATCTGGAGGCCACCACATCCAGCTTTTTCACATGTGCTCCAGAGAGAAACTCAGGCCACCTCCTTAACAACAGAGGCCTTTTTCCCCCTCTAGTTTTCTTGAGACAAGGTCCACTGTGTAGCTCCGGCTGACCTGGAACCTTGTGGTCATCCTCCTTCCTCTGACTCCAGAGTGCAGAGGTTACCTTCACACCCAGCCATGGTTGTACCTTGACAGCAAAGGTTTTGAATGAAGCATGACTTATGTAAGGGGGACTGTGGAGGCCATACAGCAGTATTGGTTCACTGGATGGAATGTTCCCTTCTGCTTGGGATCCAGGGATGGCATGCCCTGGTACTTCTCAAAACCACTCACAGCCCACTCTGTCCCCAGGAGAAGGTGAGCTTCGCACTGTGTTCAGGGCCCCGGCTGGAGGCAGCACTGGCCTCCAAGGACAGAGAGATCCTGAGGCTGCTAAAGGATGCACAGCAGCTTCGACACTCCTTGCAGGAGCTGGAGGAGGTCTCAGCCAACCAGATCGCTGACCTGGAACAGCAGCTAGCAGCCAAATCTGAGGCCATAGAGGCAGGTCCCAGGGTGGCAGGGGCGGTGGCAGGCTGGGAGCACAGGGCCAGCTTCACTGTACCCATTTGTCTTCTAGAAACTACAAGAAAAGCTCGAGGCCCAGGCTGACTATGAAGAGATTAAAACAGAGCTGAGGTACGGTGCTGAACAGTGCTGGCTGGGACTGCGCGAAGCTCATGACCTCCCCTCCCAGCTCCCCACTGTGGTGTCTACATCTCCTCCAGTCAACACTTGGCCTATCAAAATTGGTCCAGTTCAAGCTAGGCATAATGACACATGACTGTTATCCTAGCATTCAGGAGGCTGAAGTTGTCCTAGTTTAGTCTCTACTGTATGGTAAAGTGCTAACCAAAACCAGCTTATAGCTTACAGGTTCCAGGCCATTGTCAAGGGAAGTCAGGCAGGAACCTGGAGACAGGAGCTGGAGCAGAGGCCATGGAGGGTGCTGCTTCCTGGCTTGCTCCCCATAGCTTGTTCAGCCTTCTTTTTTAGAACACCCAGGACCACCTTGCTTGTAGAAGGGCTGGACCTTCCCACATCAATCATTAATCAAGGAAATTCCTCCCCACACTATAGGCCAATCTCACGGAGACATTTTCTCAGTCAAGGTTCCCTCTTCCCATGACTCTAGCCTGAGTCATGTTGACAGAGAAACTAGTCAGCACCCTAGTCCTGTTCTGTGAGGATGTGGGAATAGTCATCTTGTCATGGTGTGGAAACTGGGGGCTCACATACCAGCCAGATAAGCACAGGCCATGGGGGTGGGGGTGGGGGCCTCACCAGACCCAGCTGCTTCCAGGAACCAATGGAACATGTTAGCATGCCTGTAACTTCAAGCCTGCAGCTGGCACAGTTTGCAGTAGACAGTTGACCCTTGGTGTCTCCAGCGTCAGGTGCCTAAGCCCTCCACCCCCGTGATTGTGGTAGTGTTTTCCCTGGAACCCCAGGCACAGCCTCCTGTGACTTCATCTCTTCTCCCATGATCCCTAGCGCAAGGACCTCACATCCCTCCATTCCTGCAGAGCCAGCTCAGTGCTCAGCATACAGCCCAAGGCAAATCCAGAACTATATATCTTATTGTTTCCATCCATGTTCTGCTAAAGGCACAGGGCAGGGTAGCTCAATGGCAGAGGACTTGCGTGGCAAGCAGCCCTGGGGTTCCTTCCCTGGAGCCACAAAGGAGTGGAGAAGAAGGGGTGAGAGAAAGCTGGGAGAAAGAGGGAAAAAAAGGAAAGATCAGAGGTTGGAAGCACTGTACACCTGTAATCCCAGCCCTTGGGAGGTGGAGGCAGGGGGATTAGGCCAGTCTCAGCAACATAATGAGGCTAGCCTGAGCTACATGAGACCCACAGACCCAAGGTTGCCTGGGGAGAGTCTAGCAGCAAAGGCATAGGCAGTAAGAACCTCACTTACGGCCTCTCCTCCTCCTGGGGCCCACTGACCTCGGGCCTCTCTACTCTCTCGCAGCATCTTGAGAGCCATGAAGCTGGCCTCCACCACCTGCAGCCTCCCACAGGTACATGTCCCTGTCACCATCCTTGTCCCCAAAAGCCAGCTACCCCTGAGCCTGCACCAGCGATTCCTTCTCAGCCTTGCTTCCCGTCCCCTCAGGCCCTGACTAAGCCAGATGACCCGCTGCTCATGGCCAAGGAGGCTTTCTTTCCCACGCAGAAGTTCCTGCTGGAGAAGCCAGCACTGCTAGCCAGCTCTGGTAGGGGACAGGGGACACCCTGAGGGGCACTTGGGCTGGGGTCCTGGCAGGGATGCCCCAGGGCCCCTGCCATGTAAGGCAAGCATACGATATGAGCACCTGCTGTGTGACGCTTCCCCATATTCAAAGTCAGGTAGTCTTAAGGCTCCTGATGGCTTCCCTTGATCCTGAGTCCAGCTGGACAGTGGGGCTTTAAGGAGTCAGGAGTCAGGAGGGGGGCGGTGGTGGGGCACGCCTTTAATCTCAGCACTCGGAAGGCAGAAGCAGGCGGATCTCTGTGAGTTCAAGGACCAGCCTGGTCTATAGAGTGAGTCCCAGGACAGCCAGGGCTACACAGAGAAACTCTGTCTCAAAAAAACCAACCAACCAAACAAACAAAAAAGCAGTCAGGAGGTCTCCATACCCCTCCCACCCCACAGCCACCCCCCAGGGATGGCGCACAGCTTTAAAGGCCACCTTCCCACAAGTGGCTCAGTGGATTTTTAGCCCTGTGACCCTCCCCAAGAATATAGCAGGCTGACTCTTCATTCCTTTACTTCTAAACTGAAAGTGTTGGGGTGGCCTGAGTGATGGAGGCACAGAGGGACATAGGACACCTGCATGACAGTGAGCCCACCTCTGCTTGCTAGGGTATTGTTCCCAGTGGCAGCAGATGAAGGATGTCAGAAGAGATGGGATTTGAGAATGGAGGGGGAACAGCCAGTGTGGGTGTTTAAGATCTCTGAGGTCTATAGCCTTTCCTTCTCCTGTCCCTCCATGACCCCATATTTTCTGCCCCTGCTCTCTCTGGACCCGTCTCTGTTCCCCTTGCTCTCCATCTCCCTCTCTGATCATCTCTCTTGCCTCTGCATACCCCTCTCCTCCATTACCATCGGCCTCTCTGTCCCTCTGTCTGTCTGTGCATCCGTCCTGGTGTTCTAGAGGAGGACCCCTCGGAGGATGACTCTATCAAGGGTTCACTGGGCACGGAGCCCTCCTACCCTCCTCAGCTTGCACCTCCACCAGGCCCTGAAGACCCACTGTCCCCAAGCCCTGGGCAGCCCCTGCTGGGCTCCAGCCTGGGTCCTGATGGGCCAAGGACTTTCTCACTGTCCCCCTTCCCCAGCCTGGCATCTGGGGAGAGGCTGGCTGGGGACCCGCTGCTGCCCAAGCACATAATGGGCCCGGCTGCCTTCAAAGGGGAAGCAGGCAACCTGCTGGCATTCCCACCGGCCTTATATGGCAGTGCCAAGCCTCCAACGGCTCCCGCCACCTCAGTACTCGGCCCTGAGCCGGCTGGAGCCCCAGAGCCTGTGGACGGGGCTGGGCTAGAGGAGGAGCAGCTGGACACGGCCGAGATCGCCTTCCAGGTGAAGGAGCAGCTGCTGAAGCATAACATTGGCCAACGTGTGTTCGGTCACTATGTGCTGGGACTGTCGCAGGGCTCGGTGAGTGAGATCCTGGCACGGCCCAAGCCCTGGCGCAAGCTCACGGTGAAGGGTAAGGAGCCCTTCATCAAGATGAAGCAGTTCCTGTCGGACGAGCAGAATGTGTTGGCCCTGCGCACCATCCAGGTGCGGCAGCGAGGTGAGCCATGAAGCAGCCCCACCACCGTCCAGCACCATGTGTAACCGGGGGTAGGTGAGCTGCCGCCCTGTGGCTCTATTTCCCCCTTTCCAGGGAAAGATGTATGACCTTGCTCCCTCCTTCACTGGGCCATCCACCCACCACTCTTACCCTCCCCAGTCCATCCCTCCCCCCAGGGCAGTTCAGCCTAGGCTCTGGGCCAGTTCCTCAGTTTCCCCATCTGTCAACTCTCTGGGGAGGGGCTGAAAGGACCCAGAATGCTGACCACTGCATCCAGGATGGGTGCTCAAGAAGTGTTAGCTGGCCAGGCAGTGGTGGCATGAGCCTTTAATCTCATCACCCAGAAGGCAGAGGCAGGTGAATCTCTGTGGGTTTAAGGCCAGCGAGTTCCAGGACACCCAAGGCTGCACCGAGAGACCCTGTCTTAAAAAAAAAAAAAAAAAGTGTTAGCTGTTGCCATTGTCATCATGGTCTGTTGCTGTTAAGCCGGAGTCCGGCTGGATGCATGGCTCAGTGTTAAGCACTGGCCTAGCATGCCCAAGGCCCTGGGTTCCAACCCCAAAGCCAGAGTCATTATGCCATCTACCATTTGTCACATAGAGTAAGCTGTGGCCCTGCACTCCCCGAGAACAGTCTGGTCCACACCCTCCTGCCCACCTCCAGGGCCTGACACCCCCACCCGCAGGCCCCACAGCCGCCACCTTCGTGCCTCCCCCAGGCAGCATCACCCCGAGAATCCGCACACCTGAGACAGGCTCGGATGACGCTATTAAGAATATCCTGGAGCAGGCCAAGAAGGAGATTGAATCTCAGAAGGGAGGTGAGTAGGCCTCAGCCAGTGACCTCTGACCCCTTCCTACACCTCAAGGCTCCTCTGAGCAAGGCCTCTGCCGCCTGTCATCCCAGAGCGTTCCAGGGGCCAGAAGGACCTTCCTGGAGTGCAAACACAGGCATGCCACTGTTCAGGTGTCTCCTGTGGCTCCCTGCTGCTCCCAAGATAATATCCCAGCTATTCAGCAAGACCTCCAGGCCCAGAGTCTTCATACCCTCGACAGCTCTCACAGGACTCCTGCCCAGGACATCTAACTTCCTTATGTTTCACCTCCTCCAGGAAGCCCTCTACTTTATCCAGATGGGCTGGGGTGCTGCCCATGAGCCATCTTTCCACTGTGACCTATAGTACTGAGTATAGGATAGCTGGACTGGCCACAAATTCTGGCTCTGCTCTTGATTAGTGGTGTGGCCTTGGGCTGCTGACCTGGCCTCTCTCTGCCTCCCTCTTCTCATCTTTAAGATGGGGATGGTGCTAGCTCGCCTTTCTGAAAACTGTGGGGGCATCGAGTGAGGTCAGTGAGGAGGGGCTGAGGAGGGCAGGCACACAGAAGAATGTGGACAGAACCACCTTCCAGCCAGGTGGTTGTGGCACACTTTTAATCATAGCACTTGGGAGGTAGAGGTGAGTGAATTTCTGTGAGTTTGAGACTAGCCTGGTCTACTAAGTGAGTTCTAGGACAGCCAGGGCTTCAAAGAGAAACCCTATCTTGAAAAAAAAAAAGAAAATCTTCCTAGTCTTTGTTGTGATTCTGCAGTCAGTAGATCTGACCATGTGTTTGTCTCTGCCACTGGCCTGGGGGCTTCTGCGAGCAGACCCAAGTTGCACACTTACACCCTACAATGTAGACCTTGACTGCCGGGGACGCTGGATTCAGAGCTCCCACCCCTGTGCGGTGTCTGCTGCCCCCTGGTGGATAATCAATGCAAGTGTCCCAGTTGCAAAGTCCTGTGAGGAAAATGTGTCCCTGACTGCCCTGCTGTGAGGTGCCACAGAAGAGGGGACATGCCTGGTGGGCAGGTGTCTACACTGCCCCCCTGTCTAGTTCTCAGAGCCACTCATGATACATTTTTAAAGCTCCTACTGAATGCTAGACAGGGCTACAGATGTGGGTGAGACATAGCAGCAAGGCCTTGAGTTCAGTCACACTGGCTCTGGGTGCCTGAGGCCACAGTGATGAGGAAGAGTTAAAGTGAGCAACAGGGCCAAGGGGAATGTTCACACTCAGGACGGGGCTGGCAACAAGAAACTAAGTCACAAGGGTAGGCACACACCCCAATTCCCATCCCCACAAGCCTGCAACAGCTGGAAAGAGCACTAGTCATTGCCTGGAGGAAGAGTACTTGGGTGACTGCTACCTCCAGCTGTGTACTTGAGGGGGGAAGGGATTTATACAACCTGCTTATGATGGTGACAGGCTAGCCAGGCAGTATTAGCATACACCTTTAGTCCCAGCACTTGGGAGGCAGGTAGATCTCTGATTTGGAGGCCAGCCTGGTCTACACTGTAAATTCAAGGACAGCCAGGACTACACAGAGAAACCCTGTCTTGAAAAACCAAAGTGTGGGGGAGGGGTAGCATAGTCTTCCCATCCCAATAAACAGCCACTCCCCACTTCAACCTGTTGCTGGACAGACAGTACTTTGAAGCCGTGTGACTGGCACTTCCTGGGTTGTCATCCTTCACTCCTTTTTTTTTGTTTGTTTTTTTGTTTTTGGAGACAGGGTTTCTCTGTGTAGCTTTGGAGCCTATCCTGGCACTCGCTCTGGAGACCAGGCTGACCTATAACTCACAGAGATCCGCCTGCCTCTGCCTCCCGAGTGCTGGGATTAAAGGCGTGTGCCACCAATGCCCAGCCTTCACTCCTCTTCTTGTTTTAAATGTTTTTCTAGGTTACAGCTTGGATCCAGGCTGTGTTCCTTTTCATGACTCTATTACTTTTTACTGGAAAAAAAATAATGGCTGTGTGGTGGTCCCCAGGATACAGACTACACAGGAGGGTCATGGAGGAGGGTCATGGTGTGCTATCTGTCCCAGAGGCAGCACCTAATCATATCCTGATCAATTGCTGTTCCTGGGGCATAGCCGAGTCTGCCCTTGGTTTGTGACATTCTCTCTGCTCACTTCCTGTGTGGCCTTCTCCTTGTATGTGTTCATTCACTTTTTCATATGGCTAGCTGAGCCTCTGGGGACTATGGCCCCGCCTTTAGAGAGCCCTCGAGCCTCTGACCTGACCCTCCCCTTCCCTCCTTTCTCCTCCCCCCTCCCCTCCCCGGGATAGCTGTCAACCTGGTTTTTTTCCTGTCAGCCTATTGTGTTTGCCATTTGATAAGATTTCCCCCAGCCATCGTGTGGATCATCTTTAGTAATTTGTTGTATGTCCTAGTTTATGTTACTAAGATCGCTGCCTGGCTTTGCAGGGAACTCTTGTTTTTCTGCTGTGTAGTATTCCACTCTGTCCGCACTAATGGTCATTATCCAGTCTTTTGTCTTTGGACATTTGGGTTTCCGCCATGATTTTGCTCCAGAATACTGGAAAGAGCTACTTTCTGTTGCCCTTCTGCCTCTTTCTTTGAGCTTTTACACGGTGGGTTCACGGCATACACAAAAGGCATGGCTTTGGTTTTGACACTGTCTCATCTCCATGTTCACTTTTTCCATGTATACTAAGATTTTGCTATTGGGCTGATTTTTTTTTTAATGGCTGTCTGCCTAATATCCCTCTAGACTGACCATTACTTACCTGACCAGTCCCCCGTTGTTGGACACAGAGGTTGTCCCCACATTTAGATGGTATAAACATAGATGCTACATACGACTTGGACCTGGTGATGGGCCCTTGTCCACCCTGTCACCTTCCCCACAGGTGAGCCCAAGAACTCCACAGCCTCTGTGAGCATCTCCAACGGCACAGCCTCCTCCAGCACATCGGAAGACGCCATCAAGAACATTCTGGAACAAGCCCGCCGAGAGATGCAAGCCCAGCAGCAGGCCCTGCTGGAGATGGAGTCAGGACCCAGGGGCCGCTCTGTGCCTCCCTCTCCTCCAGAGCGACCCTCACTGGCCACTGTGAGCCAGAATGGGGCCCTGGCCTGCGTGAAGCGGGAGGATGGCGGCGGTGGCTGCAGCAGCAGCAGCAGCAGCAGCAGTGCGCAGGCGCCACTTGCTGTCCTGTCCCCGGCTGCGTTTGTCCAGCGGATCATCCGCAAGGTGAAGTCCGAAATTGGTGATGCCGGATACTTTGACCACCACTGGGCATCGGACCGTGGCCTGCTCAGCCGTCCCTACGCCTCCGTGTCGCCCTCCCTCTCCTCCTCTTCCTCCAGCTACTCTGGACAGCCCAATGGGCGAGCCTGGCCCCGTGGGGATGAGGCAGCCATCGCCCCTGAGGACGAAGCAGCCATGGGCGAGGATGAGCACCCCAGAGTGGGAGAACTCAAGGCCGAGGCCGGGGTCCCCGAGGTGGGTGGTGGGCGGCTGCCCTACTACCCAGCCTATGTGCCTCGCACACTCAAACCCACGGTGCCGCCCCTGACGCCTGAGCAGTACGAGCTGTACATGTACCGGGAGGTGGACACGCTGGAGCTAACCCGCCAGGTCAAAGAAAAGCTGGCCAAGAACGGTATCTGCCAGCGAATCTTTGGGGAAAAGGTGCGGACCACAGGGAACCTGGGGACACAGGAATTAAGGCCCACTGAGACATTGGACCTAAGACCAGTAGTCTGAAGGGTGACCCTGGTAGGAAGTCACTCCTCAGGAGCCCAGTCAGATATCTGGCATCTAGCCATCCCTGGACACTGGGCGAGTTAACAGCCAGTCCCCTGCCCTCCAAACTCCTCTGGAGGTCCCATGGTCCAGCCCCTAAGGTTAAGGACTCAGCCCAGCCCAGTGCCTTAATGTCCCTAGTTGGTGCTAGAACATCAGGTTAAATAGTAGAGGTTCGGGCCCTTTAATCCCAGCACCCAGGAGGCAGAAGCAGGCAGATTTCTGTGAGGTCAAAGCCAGCCTGTTCTACAGAGCTAGTTCCAGGACAGCTAGGGCTATTGCACAGAAAAACCCTGTCTTGAAAAAACAGAACAAACAAAAAAAGCAGAGGTTCGAGAAAGGTTCACAAAACTAGAGCTGGGAGAAAAGACTTAAGAGGGAGGTGCTGCAGAGTAGCATCCTGGAGGGGACCATGACCCTTAAGGTCACATGTGAGTTCTGTGGAGAGCTGGTTCTAAAGGGCCTGGGAGGAGCCAGGAAGGCCACATAAGGATTTGCTAATCTGCCTTCCACCTGTAGGTCCTGGGACTGTCCCAGGGCAGCGTAAGTGACATGCTGTCACGGCCAAAGCCATGGAGCAAGCTGACACAGAAGGGCCGAGAGCCCTTCATCCGCATGCAGCTGTGGCTGTCAGACCAGTTGGGCCAGGGCCAGGCCCCAACCCAGCAGCCCAGTGCCACGCAGGGTGAGTACAAGGAACAGGGCCTCCATAAGGTCTACCCCAAATCGGTGGGCTTGATTGCCCACCTCTCTCCCTCTCTTCATCCCTAACACCATTCTATAGTCCCCAGTACTGCCACCAGGGACACATGTTCCTAATCCACACCTCTGTTCCCCCTGGAAGGAAGTTTCCTCCCAGCAGAAGTGCAGAAGGCTTGGGCAGGCAGGACACACACAGCCAGTGGAGTCCTGCGCCCCGCCCCACATGATCACACCTCCCCAGAGGCCAGTGTTATAGCTCCTCAGGATCTTTCTTAGCACAGACCTGGGCCATTCAGCTGTTCAGTAATGACGTCATGGGCAGGGTGGAGCCTGAACTTAGCAGGGGAAGAAATGGAGGCTCAAAGAGTTGCCTGGAGTCACAGAGCCAGTATGCAGGGTGCTGGGGTCCAGTGGGTGGCATACTGCAGGCAGTATGGCCCACCTGCCCCAGAGACCACAAAGAGACAATGATTCTGAACCAGGACCAGAGCCCTCACTCGATAACTCCACATAGGTGGGGATCCATCAAAGCCATACCTTGAGTCACAGAAATAATCAGGACTGCCAGCAGGGTTACAAACCAGAACAGTGTCAGGTGACAGAATCCCAGGTTCCAGGTGACAGTTTCACCTTAGCAACAGGACTACAGCTCCCTCCCTATCAATTTGTGGCTACAAAACAAGGACAGGCCGTTGGTAGACAGGCAGAAGGCAGGCTATAGACAGACAGGCAAAGCAAATGGCAAGCATCTGGCAGAAACTAATAGTCAAGAGACACTGCAGACAGGCAGCAGACGGGCAACCAGCACTCTGGGGCGGAGGCAGGAGGATTGCAAGTTCAAGGCCAGGTTTTGCAATGTATAGAGGCCCATATCTCCAAATGAAATTTTGAAGAGTTGAACTATTGTTCATTGGTAGGGTATTTGCCTAGCATAACAAGGCACTGGTTCAACTCCCAGTACCATAGAAAAAGGAAAAGCTACGTACCATGAGGACCCCCGGACAGTCCCTTCTTGGGGTGCACTATGGTGGCTGCAAGATGCCTTGGTTCCAGTATCAGCACTGACAAGCCATCCTGCCCAGCCATGCCCAGTGGCAGTGACCACCCTACTGTCTCTCCCCTACAGCCAGTCCCACTGAACCGAGGTCCTCGCCATCACCTCCCCCAAGCCCCACGGAGCCTGAAAAGACTTCCCAGGAGCCCCTGGGCCTGTCGCTAGAAAGCAGCAAAGAGAACCAGCAGCCTGAGGGTCGGGCCAGCTCCTCTAGTGGGAAGCCCCTCTCGGGCAGCCAAGCTGCAGGGGGCATACAGGAGATGGTGGCCATGTCCCCAGAACTGGACACCTACTCCATCACCAAGAGGGTCAAGGAGGTCCTCACAGACAACAACCTAGGTACGTGCCAGGGCTCTGCCTGCAGCCCTAGACTAGCTTTTCTTGGCTTTGAACAAAATGCTACTGGGACTTTCCGGTGACCTCAGGGCCAGCCTGGAGGTTCCATCCAGTCCTGAGTGTGCAGGACCCCATGTGAGTCTCATGACTCTGACCATGACTCCTGCTGAGGAGTGAAGGGAGATGGTACAGCTTGTCCCTCAAAACTGCCCTGCAGCAGGCCTCAGCCCCAGTCAGCCCCCGTTGTGGTGGCCCACATCTTTAACCCAACCCCAGCGCTTGGGAGGCAAAGGCAGATGGGATCTGTGAGTTCAGCCTGGGCTAGTGAGTTCCAGGACAGCCATGTCTTGAAAAACAAACAAACAAAACAATCCCTCTTCTCTGTAGCAACGGTGATGCTCACCCATGAGACTAGAGAGCAGGGTGAGACATTTCTCTGAATCACAGATGTGTGCCAGCTCTGTCCTCCACCAGGGACCTATGCAAACCCAACAGTTGTCACTACAGTTTCTATTATGAGAGGAAGATAGTGTTGTCCCAAAATATTCAACACGAACTAGGCACGGTTCTCATCCAGTAATCCTAGCACTTAGGCAGGAGGATAGCCACAAGTTCAAAGCCTGTCTGGGCTACAGCGTGAGACCTTTTCTCAAAAAACAAAAGTTTAAAAAGACAATAACAGGGTTGGAGAGATGGCTCAGAGGTTAAGAGCACTGACTTGTTTTTCCAGAGGTCCTGAGTTCAATTCCCAGCAACCACAGGGTGGCTCACAACCACCTTGAATGAGATCTGGTGCCCTCTGCTGGCATGTAGGCAGAAGACTGTATACATAAAAAAAAAAATCTTTAAAAAAAAAAAAAAAGTCAATAATGAAGACCAGCTCAGCATTCTGGAGGCAGAGGCAGGCCTATCTCTGTGAGTTTGAGGTCAGCCTGGTCTATAGAGTGAGTTCCAGGACAGCTAGGGCTAGACACAGAGAAACCCTGTCTGGAAAGAAAGAAAGGAAGGAAAGAAGGAAGAGAGAGAGAGAGAGAGAGAGAGAGAGAGAGAGAGAGAGAGAGAAAGGCTAAGCAGATTTTCAGCTGATGAAGGGCCTGAGTTCGAATCCCCGGGTATGTTAAAAACCGAGTATGGGGACAGGAAAGATGGCTCAGTGGTTAAAGACACTGGTTGCTCTTCTTGAGGACCCAGGTTCTACTCCCAGCACCCACATGTGTAGCTTACAACCATCTGTAACTCTAGTTACGGGAATCTAATACCCTCTTCTGACCTACTAGGGCACCAGACATGTAGTGGTGTACAGACATACATGCAGGCAAAACACCCAGACACATAAATAAAATAAAAGCAAACAAAGACCTGGATATGATGGTGCACACCTGTAACTCAGAGTGGGACGGAGACAGGCTGATCCCTGGCCAGCCAGGAAATAGCGAGTTCCAGGTCCCGTCAGAGATCCCGTCTCCAAAAACTGAGCATTTAAAGCCGTTGAGGAAGACACCCAAGGTTGACCTATGACCTCCACATGAAGGCAGTTGGAGCCAGGTGTGTCCTGCATCCCTGTCACCAGTACTTGAGAGCCTGGGACAGGAGGATCACAAGTTTGAGGCTAGCCTCTGCTACCAAGCAAGATTCTTCTCAGAACACACAAAAAGCTAAAGAGGGACATGAGCGGCAGAAATGGGTAGCATGGAGCTTGCCTGACATGCACGGGGCCCGTAGTTTGACCCTGGCACCTCCCTACCAAAAACTGTCTATAGCCCTGGTGTTCTTGGGCTCCTGGGTCCCTCTAGACTAATCCTGGGAGATAGAATTAATGAGTCAGAGGTCAGACAGGTTTGAAATTTGGATTGTACTAGGTTATCCTCCAGGAGGGAGGGTGCAAGCTTTTGTACAGTACTGTCTGCTGGCAGTTTGGAGGGATGGTCCCTTGGGAATGAAAAACTGTACTAACAGAAAATAGTTTTTGTGTTACTGTCCAGTGCCAACCCTCCCCAGTCTCTTTTGTAAAAAGAGTCCCAGGCCACCCTCCCTGACCTGCTCCTCCTCTGCCTCTCCTGGGAGTGGGTCTCTGTGCTTGGCCTGGGGTGACAGTTGTCCTCTGCCCTGTCCCCAGGGCAGCGGTTGTTTGGTGAGAGCATCCTGGGGCTGACACAGGGCTCCGTGTCAGACCTACTGTCGAGGCCCAAGCCCTGGCACAAGCTGAGCCTGAAGGGTCGGGAGCCCTTTGTACGCATGCAGCTGTGGCTGAGCGATCCCCACAACGTGGAAAAGCTGCGGGACATGAAGAAACTGGAGAAGAAAGGTGAGAACCAGGCCTGGGTGGCTGGATAACCAAATCCCAGCCACGCTGTGAATGCCCCCATCTGGCAGCAATCCGGATACCCATAACCCCCACCAAAATCACTTATGATGGCTCTCATGCCATCCACACATCCAGAGCTGGTGCACAGTCTTGCCAACCTCAGCTACACGCTGTCGCCAGCTCCCCCTCAGGCCTCCCTCTCTCCGTTAGATGAACTCTCCTCCGCCCCTTACCCAGCCTATGTAGCAGAGAGCAGGCCCACCCAAGGTCCCAGTAGTTCCTTCAAGGTCATGCTCCCCAGGGGCTGGGTAAGTGTCACCGTTGATAGTGCTTACCTACCATTCATGAAGCCCTGGGTTTGTTCACCAACACTGCCTAAACCAGGCACAGTACTACACACCCGTAATCCCAGCACCATTCAGGATGCAGAAGCAGGACAATCGGAAGTTCAACGTCATCCTGGGCGGCTACATAGTGAGTTCATTCAAGGCCAGCCTGGGCTGTGTGAGACCTTGTCTCAAACAAATCAAAACCAGATATGCCTCTGTAGTGGCATCTTGCCTTGTCAGTGAAATTGTGGTGGTGGCCACACCCTTTGGGCATGGTTTTAGGTGCAGATGTGACCCCTTTTAAGGTAGAGGAGGGGGCTGGCTCTGGATCTCTTGAGGGTGGAGAGCCATAGCACACATGGGTGGAGAGCACAGGGGAGTGCCAGTGACTCCAGTGACCTGAAGACTCCAGCTAGACTCCATGGCTTAAAGTTCCCAAATCCTGCTTCCAGTGTCACTCAGGTAGGCCTAAGCCTCTGCTGTGAGTCTTTCTCTGTCCCTCCAACCAGCTCCCGAATAACCACATGGAGACTCATATTAATTATGAAAGCTCAGCCAGTAGCTTAGGCTTCTTTGTAACTAGCTCTTACAACTCAAACTAACCCATTTCTCTTAATTTACTTTTTGCCATGTGGCTTCATTACCGGAACAGTGTATTGCCCATTCTACTCGCTCTGTGTCTGACTGGTGATCCCGCCTTCTTCCCAGCATTCTCTCTGCCCCCAAAATCCTGCCTAGCTGTTGGCCATTTAGCTTTTGTTATTAAACCAATCACAGTGACATATCTTCACACAGTGTAAAGGAACATCCCACAGCAGCCTCTGGAGAACTTTTCTAGATCTAAACCACGCCAGAGCTCTTGTTCACATTTTGTTGTGAGGTCACCATGCATCCTACAATAAGAGGGTTTATTCAAAGTGACCCCTCACACAGCAAGCTGTTCTGAAACTTAGTGGCACTTCTAACAGTCTTGCCAGCCACAAAGCTCCCCAATGTGAGCACCCTCTGCCTGCAAGCACTCCTTTTTGGTCTCTGGAGTGGCTGTGCTCCAGGAATCTCCTTAACTCCTGCTGGCCTCACAGGCAATAGGGTGCCAGTAGGAGACAGGCCAGCATCTTAGAGGGGTCAGGGGAGGAGGAATGGGATGGGAGTGGGGGCATGAGGGCTCTGCTGGGCTGTGTGGGCACTGCTCCTCAGTTCTGCCATCCCTGCCAAGGGCCAACGTGTGGTGTCAATGGCCCATCAGCCTGCCCCCTCTCTCTCCAGCCTATCTGAAACGCCGCTATGGACTCATCAGCACAGGCTCCGACAGCGAGTCACCAGCTGTGCACTCTGAGTGCCCCAGCCCCTGTCAGCAGCCACAGGAGCTGAGCCTCACGCAGGCCAAGAAGCCGCGTGTGGTTCTAGCACCTGCCGAGAAGGAGGCACTGCGGAAGGCTTACCAGCTGGAGCCCTACCCATCACAGCAGACCATAGAGCTGCTGTCGTTCCAGCTCAACCTCAAGACTAACACGGTTATCAACTGGTTCCACAACTACAGGTAGCCTGGGATGACCCAAGCCGCGGAGCAGCAGAGAGGGCCGTGGTGACACAGGGACACACACAGAGAGTCATAAGGAAAGCTCAAAGGCTCATGGGAACACCTGAGGGTAGTTCAGGCCTGGGGGCTGCAGCTGGAGCACAAAGCTATTTCTAGGTTCCCAGATGCGCTAACCCTGTCACCTCCAGCTGAGGGACCCTGAGCCCTTCCCTGAGCCCCATGTCATAAGCTGTAAGCAAGGACCACAGTGACAATCCTCCTTGTCAGTATTGATGTTTATGTAGAGGCCTGGCACAGTCAGCACTGTGTGAGTCTGACGTCACCTCCACTCTGTGCAGTGGCCTCTAGGAAGGAGCAAATCAGGTCAAGACCTGAGGCATTTCCGGCCTGAGCTAACAGGGTCTCATGGTCTCTCCTGCTCGTGAGGCCAAAGGAACACCTGTCCCACTGAAGCCTCAGGCATGACGGTTCCGCCAAACATGGCTCCTTTCTTTCTTTTCGTTAGATTTTATTTTACTCTATGTACGGTGTTCTGCCTGCATGTGTGCTTGCAGGCCAGAAGAGGGCACCAGATCTCATTATAGATGGCTGTGAGCCACCATGTGGTTGTTGGGAATTGAACTCAGGACCTCTGGAGGAGCAGCCAGTGCTCTTAAACTCTGAGCCATCTCTCCAGCCCCCACATGGCTCCTTTCTTAGCCCTTTCCATTCTGCAGGACAGGTCCCAAGTACAGTGGCTTCAGGGAGGCCACAGGGCTTCCTGAGACTGGCCTAGGACCCCTGAAGGAGGCTTATGGAGATTGTAAGGACCATCTCTGAGGCCCTGCCCATGCTGAGCAAGAAATGTCACCACAGTGTCCATTTGGCACTGTGGAAGAGTCTGTCCATCCATTCTGGGGCAGAGAGCTCTCCCAAGATCCCAAGAAGGAAAAAGGGAAAACAGGGATGGGACACACATTCCCCTCTCCCCAGCCCACATGCTGGCATCACACACACTTTAGCTGTGTGGCCTTCAGCGGGTCACTAACTTCTCAGAGTCTCATGATGATGCTACAAGATGAGACACATCACTCCCGCCCAGCCCGAAGTGCCAAGATAAGCAGTGAGCGGCCTACAGTGGAGCCAATACAGACCCAGACTATAGTGCAACAGGAGACATGGGCCATAACAGCTCTCTCTCCTCCCCTCCTGAGTGACGATGGGGACTTCATCTTTGCTTCTCGTTTCTCATAGGAACTGAGTGTTCTGTCATCATCATATTCACACAAAAACATATGCACAGTAGGCTGGGCTCTAGAGATCAGGGGTTCAAGGTCATGCTCCCTGAGTCTGAGAAGCATATATATGTCATGGGCTAAGTCATTTTACTACAGCCTGACTAATCTGGCGAAAGAGGAGTAGGGGGCCTTAGGAAAGAGGGCATCTTGCCTCCAGAAAACTTGAACAAAGAGGTGGGTTTTGAAAGGTAAGAGTGGTCTCTGTGAGTTCAAGGCCAACCTGGTCTACATAGTGAATTTCAAGCCATCCAGGGCTACATGATGAGACCCCGTATCAAAAAAGGAAAAAGAAGGAGAAGAAGAAAACCAGGCCCTGGGTTCCAAACGAATCACCAGACAGAAGGTGGGGGCTGGGCAATGATGACAGGAGAGCTTGCCTGCACAAACAACTTGTGATCCCCAACTCTCATATTTTTTTAAAGCCATGCATTGGGCCAGTGAGCTGGCTCAGAAGGCACCCACGCCTCCTGATGATTTTGACACCCTAAGCTTGATCCCCAGGACACACGAGGCTAAAGGAGAGTGCCAAGTCCCAAGGTGTTCTCTGACTTCACACACACACACACACACATACACCGGTGTGTGTGCATGCATATTGCATGAATATGTAATTTTAAAATTTTAGAAAAGACACCAGAATGTGGCAGCGCACGCCTTTAATCCCAGTCCTCGGGAGGCAGAGGTAGGCGGATCTCTGTGAGTTTGAGGCCAGCCTGGTCTCCAGAGTGAGTGCCAGGACAAGCTCCAAAGCTACAGAGAAACCCTGTCTTGAAAAACAAAATTATTAGAAAAGACAACTACACCTGTGATCCCAAAGCTGGGGAGGCAGACACAGAAAGCTCGATCAGTCGAGCCAGTGTGTGAGTACCAGGTCCACTGAGAGAGTGACTGTCTCAAATGCTAAGGTGAAGAGTGATTGAGAGAGAGACACCAGACTGACCTCTGACCTCCACAGACTGACCTCTGACCTCCATGGCCCCCCAACACATTGAAGAGAAAATAAGGTGTATGGGTATTGATGAAGGCTCTTTCCTGTTGCTGTGATAAAACATCTCAGAGAGGAAAAGGGTCATTTGACTGACACATCAAAGCATGGTCCATCATTGAGGCAGGGCAGGGCAGGAACCGAAGCAGATCCCATGGGAGGAGCTGCCTATTGGCCTGCCGACCTGGTTGCTCCCTAGCTCATGCTTAGCTTGTTTTTTGATACAGCACAGACCCTCTTGCCTAGGGATATGCCACCCTCAGTGGGCTGGGCCCTCCTACATCAAGTAATAGTCAAGACCGTCTTTCACGGACACTCATGGGACAAGTGTGATCAAGGCAGTCTTTCAGATGAGGTTGCCTCTTCCCACGTTAATTCTAGGTTATGTCAATTTGACAATAAAAACTGACCGCACATCACCCAGTGTTGACTTCTGGCCTCCTCAAACACTCATTCACTCACTCACTCACTCACTCACTCACTCACTCACATACACACAGAAAACTCAGTTGCAGCGGCAGAAGGAAACATTAATAGTATTTGCTGAGCACTTAGTTTGTCCCAGGTACTAGAGGGAGGAAGGCAGGCACTGCCCTGACCAGTTGCTGATTTGCTGCTGAGTTACACAGTGTGACAGTCTACAGTGAGCTCTGGGAAGGAGGAGCATGACTGGAAGGCACAGCTGTAGAAGTGGGTGTTGCCCAGGGCAGTGGGTGGAGTACAAGCACTGTTCCTGTGGGCTTTCTGGTGTCAGCAGCCTCTGTCAAGCTTCAGACTCTCGCCCTTGTCTCTGCCACAGGTCCAGGATGCGTCGTGAGACGCTTACCGAGGGAGCACAGGATGACACAGACTTGGACCCAGGTGGGGGTTCCGGTGTCCTGGCACCAGGCCACACCCACATAGACCCCACCCCGAAGAGCCCTGACTCAGAGGCTGAGGACCAAAAGCCCCCAATGAAGAGCCTGAAGCTGCAGGAATCTAAGAGTCCTGCACCCCTAGATGCCCCAGACAGGGCTCTGGTGAGGATTAAACAGGAGGAGGATACAGAGGTGGACGAGGACAGCCAGCCCCTGGATGTAGGGGATCCAGACAGAGGACAAGGCAGCCCTAAAGAGGAACATACCCACCCTCTGGAGAACAATGAACTCCCAGAGCTGGCCCCTGGGCCATTCCTTTCAGACACACCCAACCCAGACTGCCCCTCATTGCACACCCCCCAAGAAAAGGAGGTTGGGGAGCAGGTTCACTCAGACCCTCTGAGTTTCAAGTCCACCTCAGAATCCTCATGCTGCAGCCTAGAGGGGCCACCGAACTCTCCCTCTGCCATCTCTTCACCAGACCTCATGACATGTGTGTCACCCATCCCCTCCTCCTCAGCCCCCATCTCCCCATCCCTACCTGGCATCCCACCTGCCAAAGTGCCGAGTGCCAGCCCCACTGCTGACACAGCTGCAGCCTTGCACCCCAGCACCAAGGTGAACCCCAACTTGCAGCGGCGGCATGAGAAAATGGCCAACTTGAACAGTATAATCTACCGACTGGAGAGGGCTGCAAACCGGGAAGAGGCTCTAGAGTGGGAATTCTGAACCAAGGGTGAGGGATGTACCCCTCTCCCAAATGGGGTGGGGCCAGAGAGGCAAGAACTCAGCCGTGCAAATGTGGACAGCAATGTTAAGCCGTTTACGTTTATTGTTGTAACACTAGTTACCCGAAGTTGTGTGTGAGCAGATACCACCACATCTTCTCTTTGACAGTCCTGCTTATAGGAGGCACTGGGAATCCTGCCCTCGTCCCCTTCCCCATGGGAGGCAGGACCAAAATGGCACCACATTCTCACCCAAAAACTCAGAACTCTTTTAGAAAAATAAATAAATATTTATAGACCTCTTTCAGCTATTTTAATAAAGGATCCTTTGGAATTTATCCCCAGCTGATGCTGTTTTGATATTAAAGAGAGTTATAAAATCAGATGCTGTCACTGCTGCTGTGGAGCAGACACAGAAGCTATGTCTTTTTTTTGCCATGAGATGAGATTAAAAGACAACTGTTCAAAGCCATCACAAAGCACTCTAAGACGGACCAAATTCAGAGAACCCTTGGACTGTGGGTTTGGTGTTTTTTGGTTTTTTGTTTTTGTTTTCCCCTTACACCTGTCTGTGAGACACAGCATGCTGCTGCTGCCCTTCCAGAACCCGAGTTGCAAAGAGAAAGTCCAAAAGACTCTAAATGAAAACCTCCATGCTGTTGAGGGTGGGACCATGCTGGCAGCCTGTCTGCAGCCTCCACGTCACAGGAGATCCTGTCACTGGTGGAAATGTCACCCTCAGCAAACATAGTGTGCTTCACAAAGGCCTCCACTCTCCGAGTTAGAAACCTTCCACGTATAAACAAAGTGTTTCCAGAACCTTCGGAAAGCTGGATGTGGGTGAGGTACTCAAAGAGTGGTGCTTATGTCAGTGACCTTGGCTCCCATTCTGAATCGTGGCCATACTTGGAAGGTTTCTCTGAAGTTCTGAGCAAGGCCACTCCATTCCAGAAAACCCTGTGGCCTCCACCTTCCTTCCCCATTTCTAGAAAAGTGTTGGTTCACCGTAGCCCCCAGAGCTTAGCAACCAGCTCCAAATCTAGATATGTCCAGCCAGAAACCTCAACTCTGTTTCTCACCATCTTCTCAAGATGATATCATTACATCCCTGGAAAGTGTCCAGGAGCCTATGGAACTTGGTGAGGTCAAAGTCACCACAACATGGCCACCGTATCCCCCACCTTTTGGTCTAGTTTCCTACTAAAGACCTGCTTGGATCAAAGATGTGACTCCCCCAACTCAGAAGCAACCTTCCTTCAACATATTGTGATTTCTGGGGAGAGAGGTCCCGTGGGATTCGATGGCCTCCATATCACATCGGTTGTTGAGCCCCTCCTGCTTTTATTCCTTTTGTCCAAACTGTGGAAGCTGAACTGGTGATGATGATAAATGTGTGGCCATCTCTGTTGCCATTCGGTGCTCGAGGGACAAATGGCTCCTCAATGCAGTGACTATCTTGAAATCATGTGAGCCAAAAAGTTGACAACCAGAAACAAAACAAAAAATAATAATAATGTTCCGGAATTTCTCACTCTCATGCACCCAGCCAGGCTGCACACAGTAGACATCAGACAGGCCCTGGAAAGCCCCTTTTCCACACATAACCCTGGCTATGCATCAAGAAGTTTTCCACTGTATACATTTTTATCCAGAGGAGGGTATTTTTATATTTTGACACTAGGGAACCATGATGAGAGTTTCCAGAAAAAATCCATTCTGGGACAAATGAAGCCTGTCTCGGCCTCTGCCACCTCCGTTGCCACACACAAACAGAGGGAGACCCTGCCACTTTTCATCTTAAAACTACAGGTTGAGGTGATCCATGCCATACATCGATGTGACTCAGCAGAGTTCACCGTGGCTTTAGTGTGACAGGATTTGGTATGACCTTTGCACACAAAAACAAATGCAGAAGCCCACGGACCTGCAAACAGATCCATCCAGTTCACATCCTACAACGGTTTAAAACTAGAAAACACACACACACAAACTGTTTCTATGAGAGATTGATGAACTTTGTCTAAAATTTTACAAAAGGGACACGACACATTCTGTAAACACGTCCCTAAATACAGAATTGTATAATAATCCTGGGTGTCCCCATTTGTTCTGGAGCTGGGGTGCAAGATGGGTACAGAGTTGACCCTCAGGGGTGTCATACAAAATGAGGGTTTTTTAAGTTTTTGTTTTGTGGGGTTTTGGTGGTGGTGTATTTTGTTTTGTTGCTTTTGGGGAGGGGGTTGAGAAAAGGTTTCTCTGTGTAACAGCCCTAGCTGTCCTGGAACTCACTCTGTAGACCAGGCTGGCCTCAAACTCACAGAGATCCACCTTCCTCTGCCTCCCAAGTGCTGGGATTAAAGGTGTGAACAATTGTTTTGTCTTTTAAGACAAGGTCTCACTATATAGCCTCGATGGCCTGGAACACACAGAGATCTGCCTGCCTCTGCCTCCTGAGTGCTGGGGTTAATTTCTTCATTATTATTAGGATTTGTGTTGTGTGTGAGTGTGGATACGTGTGCAGAGATCAGAGAGCAACTTACCAGGGTTGATTATCTCTGTGGGTTCCAGGGAATCAAACTTGAGCCATGAGGCTTGCATGGTTGAGCGTCTTTACCTGGTGAGCTGCTTCACCAGCTCAAAATCATATATTTAAAGATTAGGGTGATTTGATTGCTTGTTTGTTTATATATTTATCAAGACAGGGTCTCACTGTATAGCTCTGGCTAGCCTAGAACTGCCTGTGTAGACCAGGCTGGCCTGGAACTCAGAAATCTGACTGCCTCTGCCTCCTGAGCAATAGGATTAAAGGCATGTACCATCACCATAGGCTACATGATTTGGTTTTGAGAGAGTCTTATGAGACCCAAGCTGCCCTCAGACTCACTTTGTAGTGATGGTTGACTTTGAACTAGTCTTCCCTTCTGAGTGCTGGGATTATAGGCATACACCACCATACCCAGCAAATACTGTTGTTTTTTTTTAATTGAGTACCAGCAATCAATGGGGGGTGTCCCTTAAGTAATGCCAATACCAACTTCTGAAAACTATGGCTGTACCAGGCCACCATCTGTTGTGACAACGGCTATCTGAGGAATGGTGTCCCTTGCCAATGGCCTGAATGGGTACTATAGCATCTGGTTGGTAACAGAGTGTAGGATCCCAGCTGCTCTGAAGACAACCTGGGACTGGAAGCCCCAGTGTGGCCTAAAGGATGGGAGGTTGGACTCTGGGGCCTGGGACAAGGGGTCAAGATTGGATCTTGCTTTTATACCACAACTCTCAGCCAGTGTATAAATGGAGTGGGGAGTCAGTCTATACCAAAAGACCCTTCCCCAGACCAGCACAGCCCTGCCCACTCCCAGATAGTAATACAGGCTTCAGTTTCCACATCTGTAAAGTGGGGTGTTGCAACAATGAATCATAGTGCATTCTGGGGTGGTGTTTTGGAATAGTGTGGAGCACGGGTACACCTGTCCAGTGCCTGAACCAGGAGCTTGACAACCATGTGACTGTCGTCTGAAGGTGGGGGGGGGGGTCATCTTGTCTCGTGCTTTAACAATCACTCATCCATGAACCAGAGCCATGTGCATCGGCTCAGATGGTTCACTGGTAAACCCTTCTACAACCCCTGGTTTCCACACATCCTCCTGGGGGAGGGCTCTGACTCATTATCCCCACTGTGGCTAGGAGAACTTGCTTGAATCCCAAAGGCTGGCTCCCAGGCAGCACAGGATGGGGGTAGGGACGCAATAATGGGAGTAGTCCCATGAAGGGTGACCTTGCAGGCTGGCCCAGGTGTCTCTGAGTCAGGGAGCCAGACTGCCTGGTTTCCATACCAGCCCCACTTCTGAGAGCTTTGTGTACGTGAGAGAATGCCAGAACCTCTCCATGCCTCAGTTTCCCCAGCTGTAAAGTGGGGATGGCTATACATTTCCTAACCGGGTAGCTAGCTGTGAATTGCCAATTACTGGAGACTGCCATTCTAGTCCCAGGTCACCACCCTTAGGAAAGTTGAGTTTGATAGGACAAGGTGATGTATTCCTACTCAAGAAGCTCAGGTGCAGGGATTCGTGAGTTTAGCCATTTGGGAACAGCCTGGACAACACAGTAATACTTGCTTGAAAATTCAAAACAAAAATAAAACCTAGTCAAATATCCATATCCTGGGGCCCCTTCAGGGAATGCAGGTCTGCTCTGTCAGGTGAGGCCCTAAATGAGCTAGTGTCTTATCAGCTCTGGGGACTGCGGTTCCTTTGTGAATCACCAGTATTGACATCATGTCAGCTGTCCCTTGCCCCTAAGTAGAAAATTATAGGAAAATAACAAACTACAGAATTCTGAGCTGGGGGAGGGAAAGCAGAGGGATCAGCATGGACTGAAAAACCTGGAGACCTTCCTGGAGGAAGCTGGTTTGCAAAACAGAGCAGTGAGCTGAATGGGGGGTGAGCTGACACAGGTTCATCTAGCTAGCATTTATTTAGTGACTACTGCATGTTCTGTGCCTTGGTAGAGGAAGGAAGGGCATGAGACATGGGGCCAGAAGTTCTTCATGGAGAGGAGGACACCATTACAAAATGAACTATGACAAGCGATAGAAAGGGGTCCAGGGAGAAGCAAATGAAAAAGGTATGGTGGGGCTAAGGACCCACCAGGAAGTGGCCAAAGGAGCCTACAGGTGAAGGGGAGCATGGGAAGGAGAGAGACCTGACTGAGAAGCTCCATGGGGTACGATGGAAAGCATGCTTCTCCTGAGGGTACTGGGGAGCTACAGCAGGCATGAGGCAGGGGATGTTGCATTTGGATCTGCACTTTTAGCTAGGTGAGTCCATTTGCCTGCCCTGACTCGCTCCCCCACCTCCTTTCTCCTGGTTTAGCACCTTCCATTCCATTCTGTGAGGAACCCCAATGAATAACTATAAGCTCCCTCACCTCCCTCATCCCCCCATCAGCTGGGTCCATCTTTCTTTCTTTCCTTTTTTTTTTTTTTTTTTTTTTTTTTTTTTTTTTTTTTTTTGAGACAGGGTTTCTCTATTCAGCCTTGGTTGTCTTGGAACTTGCTCTGTAGACCAGGTTGGCCTCCCGAGTGCTGGAACTAAAGGCATGTATGTGTGCCACCACTGCCCTGGCCCTCTACAGCCTTGGTGGGGTTAGTTACTATAGAAACCAGGCCTTCACAGTACCCAGATGCTGAAGCCACCCCAAGACCCAAGAGCAGTAGGGCTGGGCAGAAGTGACCTTGTCCAAGGTGACCCACTGGGAGCTAGCCTGTGAACCTACCTACTGTGAGGCACCCACAGGCCAGCTGAATAGCCAGGCAGCCAGGCCTGTGTTGGTTTCTCCCTCATCAGGTACCTAGGACTCCATTTCCTCGTCTGTGAAATAGCTGTGACTGGAGACCAGTGCTTGAATGCTCTGGCTACAGGTACTGTATGAAGCAGCCCACCTTTGGTGGCTCCCAGCCCTGAATGCTTCTCTCCTGCAGCCTTGAGGCATGAGTCTGAGGCCGGCAGCCTTCCTGTTGCCTTAAAGTTCCAACCCCGTGGGCCCAGGGTGGGGATGACAGGTTACCAGGCAAGCAAGGCTCTGGAAGCACTCAGCCAGCCACCCAGTGTGGCTGCCCCTCTCTTCACCACCCTAAATCTGGATATCACAGCCATCCTCATCCGTTGAGATCACAGGCCCACAGGTACGCATGCCCACCATCCCCTCTACATAGATCTGAGGTTTGCCTGCATGTGGCTGTCGTAAATAGTGTCACTGTGAACAAATATGCACACCGAGACCCTCATCAGGCTTGGACCCTTTCCCATTTCTCATCCCTCCCAACCCTCAGGTGGCTGCGGCCTGCCCACATGTCAATCATCTGCCCATCTTTTCTTAAGCCCTGCGGTCCTCCATGTACTTCCTGAGGGTACCACCAGCCACTGGGTCAGAGGCTGACGTCCCAGCTGACGCTCCAGCTGTGTGGCCTTAGCAACCTCTTTGAGCCTCCATTCCCCCCCCCCCCTTACAAGATGAGGCCAGTGTCTTCCCTAGAAGGTGATGGGACTGCCTGGTTGAAGGACACACAGTCATCTCCTTTCTAGGGCCCATGAGGTATATCAACTGTGGATTCTATGAGAAGGAAAAAATACAAGCAGTCATTACTTAGCCAGCTTTTATTTTGGCCCTCGTACCCTGTCCATGACTGACATCTCTTAGCCCTAGAATCAGCTGGACTTGATCTTTGTGCTTTGGGAAAAGCGGGCCTCTCTCCCCCTGCCCTCACCTTCTGCCCCGTACCTTTAGAGTTTGTAAACCCAGACTAGAGTCTATGCCTCAGCCCTCCAGCAATAAATCCTGAGCCCCACCCAGTGGGAGAGTGAAAAGACAGGGACCAAGTCCCCAGAGGCACCTGTGCAGACAGCAGAGTTCAGGGGACAGAGTAAGAGGTAAAGGCCAAGTCAGCTAGGCGTCAGTGTGTCTCCTGCTAGGGCTGGGCACCCTGGGGACAATACTATCCAGCCAGCCAACAGTAACAAGGAGAGGAGTACGAATACTAATCTTCACTGCTGAAAAAAGAAAATGCAATACCTTATATACTTCAAAGTAAAATCCACAGACAAGCCTTGGCCCCTGAGCCAGCAGGGAGCCAAGAGGCCCTGGTGGCAGATGCACCTTCAGAACCCCAACCCAAGGCCTCCCAGGACAGAGGATCAGGGCCAGGGTGAAATCTGTCCATCTGATACAGAAATTGGAGTGACAGTGTCCTCCAGTCCCCAGGGCAGGGCACTGAAGAGGACTGTAAACAAGACCCAGGTGGGGCAGGTTGTCCCACCCAACACTGGAAGAGAGCCAGCACTGTGGTGAGAATGGACCCAGCAGAGAGGGCCCACTGGCTATCTGGGTGGCAGGGAGCAGTGCCTGGGCTCTCCCCCTGCAGGCATGGAATCAGTGGAGGTGTCTGTCTCCTCCAGGTGAGCCTTCGAGGAAGCTAGGCCACAGCCCGGGATTGGAGGTCAGGTGGCTCTCAAAGGCCCTGCAGGGCCAAGGCCGGGCAAAGTCCTGCCTCAGCTGGTTTCAAGCCAGGGGACTTGGAGACCTATCCAAGCTCCACCTTCTACCTGCTACTTCAGGCCCATGTGAGCAGCCCAGGAAGCAGCTACCAGGCCCAGGCCTCCTGATCCCTGTGAGGCCCAGCACCAGGTAGACCCTGGGCCCCATGGGCCTGTCTGTGGCCAGCTCCAGGGCTGTCCTGGGGCAGAGTTCTCTAGAAACCAGTTCCTTGAGCTCTTGAAGCATGTTGAGGTCCCAGGTTCTTCTTAGCAGTAATTGCCACTGACCCCAGAGGTCTGGTCTTCTAGGTCACATGTCCTGTGTCCCCTGAAAGCCCGGCTTGAGTACAATCAGAACTGTACTTAGGATCTTCTGAACTCAGGCTTCCCTCACAGCCAGTAGGCCCCTTAAGGCTGGTCCTGGGTATGAGTCCCACCAGAGCTAGAACGATGCCAGACCTCCAGGCCAGCTAGGCCAGCCTGGCCTCCACGCCACTGGCTCCTGAGGGCCCGCACCTCCCGTCCATAGTGCTCATGTAGCTGGGCGAAGGATGCCAAGGGCCTGTTGGGTGCAGAGGCCCTTCGACGGGGTGGGAGCGGTGGGCGCTTCGGGGCTGCAGTGGGTTGTTCGGGCAGCGCGCTCCATACTGCCCGGCCATTCTCCTTGGGTCTCGGGTTCGAGATTGGATTTGGGTTGGCAGACAAGGTGTTGGCAGGGCTTCCCTCCCGCATGGCTGCCAGCTGCTGCTCCAACTCACGAACCACCAAGCGCAGGTAGTGGAAGCTGGCTCGAGACAGGGCCTTCACCCATCCCTCCAGGGCTGCCTGGCTGTCGGCTGCCAGCACATAGGACCGAGAACGACCACCGGCAAAGCGCACAGCGAAGGCAAACTCTTCCCGGGCATCCACCAGCTCCACCGTGCAACCCTCCAACAGGATGACACCCAGCGGCTCTCGGCTCGCCTCCGACTCAAAGTAGAAGAGCATGTTGCCACGAAGCACAAACCAGCGCCGGTGGGAGCCTGCCCCGCGCCCACCACGCTTGTGCAGGAAGCCAGCATTGTCCACCGGTGCATCACAGGTCGCGTAGAAGGCGAGGCTTCGCTCATTCAGCTTCATGGCCGCACGGCCTGTGTTTGTCCCCTGCACCAGAGCTGATGTTACTCCTAACATCACCACTTCCGGGGCCACCAGCCATCACCTTCTACCACACCCACCCCAGGCCCCCAGTAAACACAAGGAGACAAGACTCGAACCCAAGTCTCACATGGACACTCCGAGCCCTCCCGCTGCCATTGGACTCAGGAAAGAACATTAGGCATTCAGAACTCTCTGGACACTTAGCACAGGTTATCGTCATTCGGCAATGGTTGCCTCCATGTGCAGTTGGGGAAACAGAGGCACATGAAGGAAACAGCCACAAAGCCAAGGTCACAAAACAAGTTGGCTAGAGCATCTTTGCTGGTCCCTGGAGGTCCCAGCCCTGTGACTCAGCCTTGGTTTGTCTGGTGAGAGTGGGAGCCATGAAGAAGAGCATGGCAGGGACAGTGAACACAAAGGCCCTGTGGTGAAAAACTACTGCTGTGAGGGACGAGGGTCAGAGGAGGGGAGGAGAGGAGGAAAACACACTCAGAGCGGTGAAGCAACTGTTAGAAAATAACCTAGATAAAAAACAGGCTCGGCCCAGTCTGACAGGGAGGGAGGGACAGAGCACTCGAACACATACCTCCCAAAAAGTACACACGGGGCAGTGGTAGGTAGAAGGACTTATAGGGAGGTGTCACACAGGTTGGTTGTG